AAACTCCGACGAAACAGTTTGTCACAGCCCCTCGTTTGTTGTCCTCTTCTCCCTCTCTGCCTACGGTTTACCGGGCAGTTCTATTTGACGATATATATATTTGGATAATTTTTAGGCCAGGAATAAAATCATCCCGGACCCCGTTAATTCCCGTCCAACTCGCGTTTAAACGGGAGTTTAACGCGAATTCAACGCGCGTTGAATTTTTCAACGCGGAACCCGCATTAAATCCAATTTCGGACACATAACACCTTCCCAAATCTGTTTCTTTTGCACTTTGCCCATGATACCGACAGGGGGAGATCCTCCCCTCGAGGGGCCTAGCTTTCTTCCCTGGGTACAATGTAGTCAATGTCACCTCGTCCGGTCCCATGGGAGTTGTGCCCGGTATCGAAATGAAAAAAGTTGGAACTGTCCCAACTGTCGAACGGACCACGTACCTACGGAAAAGCGGTATCTAGAAGCTAGAACAGCAGTTGGATTTTTGCCAAGCGTCCGCCGAGCGGAAGTCTGAATGGATCTTCTGCTATTACGGAGACTGACAGGCGATCCGTTGACGGAACTTACCAAGGCTGAACGGCGACGTGTCACGGAACGAGCGCACAATTACCGCTGGCAAGGATCCGTCCTACAAAAACGAAAAGACGATGCCGTCGACGGATCTAGTTGGCTTACAGTTCCACACCCACAGGCCAGGTTCGATTGGACACCCCGCCCACAACGAGGATGCGGTCCACTTTGCAGTCAAATACACGAAAAAAACAATAGAGAAAAATGGATGGTACTGGTCGGGAATCCGGGAAGATGTGAAATACATCGTCCGGACTTGCCCGGCCTGCGCGGTCAATAAGGCGCCGATACAGATGCCCCGTACAATAGTGCCTACCCAGGTAGAGCGCCCCTTCCAACGGGTCAGTATCGATACGAGGGACATCAACGTGCCGAGAGGCCCTGTTGATCAAGGAGAGTTCAATGTTCTTCTTGAAGCCGTAGATCATTTTTCGAAATGGATCGAAGCGTATCCAATGACCAGCCGGAACTCACAGGAAGTAGCCTGGTACATTAATCGCTTTTTGTGCATGCACCTGGACGTAGAAGAGATACATATAGACAATGGATCCGAGTTCCAGGGGGAAGTAGAGCGACATCTTGTAAGGGTAGATGTTAGAATTTCATACTCCCCAGGGCACTGGCCTCAAGCCAACGGGCTCGTAGAGAATGTCAACCGAATGATCAAGACTGCACTTAGACGGAATATCACAGCAGGTGATACCAGGCCCTGGCCTGTCATAGTCGACCACATTTTGGACGTCTATCGGGCTACTCCCCACGGGAGCACCGGGGTGTCCCCGTTTCAACTGAGAACCAATAGCGTCCCCAGAGTGCAGTTGTCATCTCTAGTGGGTACGGAAGTTAGAGTGACCCGGGCCCAGCACAAGGACAAGGCCCAGCATTAGCTGGATCTGATGGCCCGGACCTATTCCGCGTTAGCCCGAAGACGACAAAGGGCCGTAGATCTGACGCATCAACGACAGATCCGGGACTATGAGAACCGACACGCGACAGCGGGGCCAATGCCCCGTTATAAAATCGGGGAGTTGGTGCAGGTACGAAAATCTGCACGCTCCTCCAAGATCCACCCACGCTATACCGCCATTTACGAAGTGACGGAAATTGGCGCACGAGGACAGCACTCCGTGAAGCTGATCCCCCGGCATAGCACGCAGGCCAGGTCGCTTACGCGACACGCGGCGGCTCTTCAGCTGTTTCGGCCATCTTCGGGCCGCGAATCGGCTCATGCCCCGTCCGAGCCTTCGTCCTCTCTCTCCTCGTCTCCTTCTCCGTCTTCTTCCTCTTCCCGATCTGCCTCGTCCCTTGGTGCTGAGAGTTTCAGGGAGCAGGATGAACCATCACCAGCCGGAGCATGAGCCCCTCGAGCATTTCCAAACGCCGCTTGCAGATTGCTTGTTGCGGCATCAGTTCAATGAGAAGAGGCAGTTGTGATACGACATTCAGCAGGTGAACGTGCCAGCGCCCGGGATTGCTGATCTGGCGGCGTACTCGTTACTTTGTGATCGGCTAACGTATGCGGGGGTGTACGTGGACGTGACGCAGTTGTCGGGGCGGGAGACAACTCGAGTGTTCATCAGGTTCCGAGCGCTCCAGGTGGCACCGAACTTCGTGCATAGCGTCGCCACCTTCATCGGAGACTTGACGATCTTGCCGCCGCCGAGTCGGGAGCTGGCGCGGAGTTTTGTGCGCGAATACGCGGTGCAGGCGGCCAGATCAGTGGCCAGAGTGCAAGGACGGGGGGGACACCGATTCACAGCCCACGAAGCGCTGCTGCGCAGGGCAGAGGACGGACCAATCGCGTTGGTGCTACAGCTCCCCGCGTTTCATCCTCCCGCTGCCCCTCTCAACATCCAAGCTATTCCCCCTACCCCGTACTAAATGCCTCCCTTCTTCTCTTACACCACCCTCCCCTATCAACTCACGGAGGGCCCTTATCCTATGCGAGAGTTCTCGAAGTATTTGGTGGAGCTGACTGACGTGGAGCCGCTGCCCTTCGCAGACGACGACGCGTGGGAGTTGCACCGTGCGCTGTACAAGTCGGTGGCATTGGGGATGTTCCAATTCTTCGTGGATCACGAAGACCACTGCATCAGGGAGCACTTCGTCGTCTATTACGTCATCACACGGGCCAAGCCAGCGCAGAAGGAGGGGACGGTGGCGCTGTACCCATTCGCCCAGCTCCAGACGATCGATCCGGGATTGTTGGAGTTCATACATCTTGAGCTCCTATCCATTGCGCAAGTTATCCCGAGTGAGGAAAAGGAGATCCAGCCACGATTGCGGACGACGTGTGCCCCCCGGAGAACGTACAACGTGGTCGTCATCCCGAATTTCGGTGCGCAGCGCGAGGAGAGGTTGGAGGACTTCATGAAGGAAAAGCCGTTGCGACCTCCCTCGTCGTATCCCAGACCGGCGCCGCCAAAGGCCCCCAAGAAGATGCCGAAGAGGAAGAGACGCCACCCGTTGCCAGGAGCGCAAGGCAGCAGAATCAGTGGCGGCGAGGAGGTGGTTCAACCCGCGCGCACGCGAAATCTTGATCCATTGCCTGGGAGTGCGGCGACACTCGTTAAGGAGACTTTCGTGCCATCGCCACCCTTCCCGCGCGTGCCCGATCTCAATCTTGATGGAGCCGGGCCATCAGTCGCAGCAGCCGCGGGAGGAAGTCGAATGGGATTACCGGATCCCGTATCCAGATCCCTCGTCCTCGCGGGACCTTTCCGCCTCCGCCAGCCACCCCGGAATGCCCTGATCATTGACATTAGTAGTTCCTCCGAGCCGGACGGTCCATCCGACAGAGGTGGATTTCATGGTGGAGCCCACCACCATCAGGCTCGAGGCCATCGCGGGGGCGCCGCGCCCTAATCCGGTGTGGGAACCATATCTGACACCCCCTTTTCAAGGGTGTATCACGGCGCGACTGGCGGGGACGCTCATCTATGAGACCGGGCAGCGTCCCAATGTGATGTACCACTTCCTTGTCTTCACGGCGCAAAAGCGGGAGCGGCGGCCTTGCACCGAGACTCATGTGGTGATGACGGGTCCAGGACCCCGATCGGTACGCAAGCGGGTGGTGGGAGCGGTGGCGGATCTGGCGCCACGTGTCCTGTCTCATGTGTCGGGGGCCTTCCTCTATCCTTCGTTTGTCCAGCACCACTTCCATGAGGAAGACGCACCGACGACTCCCGCGGCAATGGCCGCTTTTCTTCCACCTATTCCGCCCCCTCTCAATCCCGACATCGATTACTTCCTCTGATCACCCTCGTCTACCTCTCCCCTCTTCTCTCCTCCTCCTTCTCTTCATCATCTTCATCTCCTATGCCCAAAGTTCGCGCGTCGAGACGCGCTGTGTAAAAAAAAAAAAAAAAAAA